AGTAATTACAATGACAATTCTAATTAAATTCTTGTTACTACTAGTAATTACTACTACTAGCGTGGCACTTGTTCCTAGTAGGACCAAAGGAATGCTCCGCTGAGAAGTCAGACCTCTACGGGGAGAAACTGCTTTTTCTTGAGGGGTTAACCTCTTGACATACCTGGCGGTCTATGCTCTCTTCTGGAGCGGTCATTTCGAGTCCTGGCGCTTGGCGTACGCGCACCCACATGAAGTGACGAATGGCGGGGCGGTCGACCAAAGATACCAAGTCATCGCCTGAGGCAGCTGGCACATGTGAAGCTCTTGGCCATGCACACAGAGCTGTGCCGCAGGCCGTGCCACGAGCATTCCAGTTCGGCCATCGACCTCATCGAGCCAAGCGATCCAGGGCCTTTCTCCACACGGCCCTTCAGTCCAAGTGTTTTCGGGTGTTTTTGCATGTTTTTGCCAACTCATCAGGTATTTTTTTCTGCTGCCTCCAAGCAGGAGAGGGTGGGAACTGCCGACTCGAGCCATAGCCAGGCAGCTTCGCCATAGCCAGGTGCAAGCTGCCGTCCATGAACTGGGGTTGGGGGCGCTTCCAGGGCCTGAGAAACATCACGAATAGCTCGTGGCCGCTGGAGAAACCCCAGCCCAGATGCAAGTTAGTTAACTGATATGGTTGGGTGTCTAGATCGATGAAGTTTCCGGTGAAAACCAATCACCGGTCTACGGTATACCGTGATTTGTGCAGCGAGGTCTTCAAATCTAAGCTGTTGGCTCGCTTTGTCACGCAAGCGTTGCCTCAACCCATGATCTGAAGTCTAGATACCCCCAAGCACCCCGACAGCAATGGCACCTATATCCTTCCATGCGTATAAACGCTCGAACAGCTGGGTGGTGAGTCACAGTCGGCTTGAGGAATCGATGCATGACTATGGCCTCGAGGCCGATATCATCTCATACAACAGTGCTATGAGCGCCAGCCAGACGCTTGGCTGTCTAGGGTGCCTGGCCACTTCTGGAACGTGCCTCGAGGAGGTTCCGATGATTCACGCAAAGGCAACAGTGCCAACACGAGGTTTGGAGACTGACGGAGCATGGACCCAACGATCAAAACACCCATGCGGGCTCCATGGGTCCATGGTGTTCTGACCAGTCAAGGACACGCATGGTTTTTGCACAACAAACCTGCCTTTTACGCATAGCAACCTTTGCATGCACCAAAGTTTACAGCGTGTTTTAATGCCGCACGTGTGTTTTGATTTGGGAACTTGGAAACTCCAAATCCCAAAGTGCACAAACAAAATGGCACAACAAAACGGTTTGTTGTGGCTGCGTCTGTTTCCGGATGCAAGAAACTAAGCAAGATGGAGTCCAGGAAGAGCAGCCGTTGGCGGTTGGCGCTCTACACTCTACACTCTTTGGCCTTCCCCAGAGGCCTACAGCTGGATGGCGCCTCGAAACAAACCCGTCGCAGAAGCTCGGGTCGGTGGAAGCGGTTTTGGGTGAGCGAAACGAAAGAAACAACTTCACACGAAAGGTGGTTTCGTGAGGTAGTTTTTCTGTTGGTTGCCAAATCGTTTGCAGATATGTTCCGATTTGTGATATCAGTTTGGGAGTCTGACACCATTGTTGGCTTTCTGCTGTGCTTTTTGCACTTCATCAGCAACAGTTCCACCCACAATTCCGAAATGTTCCATTTAGGTACATGCATTCACCCGCCACACGTCACCACGGTCCGCCGCATTTAGGTACCATTTAGGACAATGTCCGCATTCACCACATTTCACCCGCCAAATGCTGAAACCATGGTGCCATCCGCCTTGGGGACCTCTTCTCCCACGGTCGGTCAAACGGGACGTTTTCGCCGACGTGATCGCCGCGATTGGCCTTTAAATAGCGATGGCCTCCACCCTAGTAGCTTCTAGGTACTAGAAAGCTTCAAGGACATACTAGTAGCCTTATGGCTACTAGCTAGCAATGGCCTCCAACCTTAGCGATGGCCTCCAAGGCCATTTCTTTCAAGGGTCAATGATGGTTGTACCTGGACCATCCAGATCGTACATTGGATGGTCAATGTACGCCCCTTGGATGGTCGGTATACCCCCGGTACCCCCGGTAACCGGCCTCGGTCTCACCGGAGGACAACGGTCTCGACTCTCGGTCTCGTCACCGGAGTCTGTTCGTCACCACATCACTAACGGTTACGTGGATGGCATGAGCCTGGTGGAGGATGCCTCGACTTTCCTTTACAAACAGAAGGTGCCATCCACATTTATACAGACGTGAGTCTGTCAGAGTGTCTGTCATGGCGTGATCGTATTTGATCTCTTTCAGTCAGGTCCTGACCTGGAGGGGTCGCGTTTTTTGGGTTTCGCTGTTTCAAAGGAGGCAAAGAAGGAAGACAGAAATCCACCAATTCGGAAGACCAAGTGTTTCTTTCATCCTCAGAATCCACATCATCTCAACTTGGGAAGCAGTGGTGGGCATAGTATTCCTAGGGATCCACATACCTTCTCAGAAGTTGTTTGGACCCTCTAAACCTATATATAGACAAGTGTCTCCAATCACCTTCTCAGGGTATGTGGATCCATAGGGTATGGAACCTTCACACTCAAAAACAATGACTTCTAGCAGCGTTGTTGGGGCCTAACATACACTCTGATGGCTTGTGCCCGTACCTGAGATGAAAGGTAAGCGTGTGACGTGTGACGTGTATCGAAGGATCTGCTGTTCAATCCGGGCACGGCTCGGTTGGCAAGGAACCAGCTACGGAACCGCCACCAGTAGCTGTGCCAAAGCCTCGTGTCTGGGCTTTTGGCTGGGGCGCCCTGCCCTCGACGGGCTCGCCGGGTTTGGCTCAACGTGGAAGGAAGAGTTGGCGGAGGTTCCAGTGCTTAAACCATTAATGCGACAACCTGAACCGGCTTTGTACAAAAGACCGATTGGTTCCACTCTCAACCAGCAGCGTGAGGCCGTGAGACGTTTTTCCAGGTGTTTGTTTTTTTTTGCTTGGGCTCATCATGGGCAATTCAATATATGGATTTCGCCAAAGCTTCTTGGTTGGGGAAATTTATTTGTTCTTTCTGTCCCTGCAAGATCATGTGGTTGTTTATTTGAGCCATCAAGCATTAAGATCAGATGTTCCCCGGACACCATTGTCTGCTGGTGCAAGAGTCCACGACCACGACGAAGCGATCATCACGCGCATAAAGTTATGGCCTCATGGGTTGAAAGTGTCATAGGCAATGGTTTTGTTTGAGTCAGGCTGCCCTTCCGGCGTTGGAGCTTGCCCGGCCGAACCAAAAAAATACGTTAAAGCAATAATTACTGTAATTGATTAGTTGTTGTGTGTTATTGCAATATAAAACATCGCAGACTAATAAGGAGTATAGCACTGAACTAGACTATACAATATACATGGATTTCTTTGACGCCATTGCATTGCTAGCATTTGGAGTCCTGCAAGAGTGTGAAGAAATGATGAAATAGGACAGTGTTCTACAGTGACATGCAGATGACTTTTTCGGGACATGTTCTGAAGCTTCTGAGTTCATGGTTTTCATGGTTTTCTGAAGACCCGAAGTCAGTCCGAAGTCCTGTGGTGTTCACAAGAGTTTCTGTCTTTCTCATGTGACATGAACTATGGATTGATAAGGTTGTACGAATCTCAAGCTGTCACCTTGAAACAAGTCATTCACTTCCGAGGCAAGAAGCTTATATTCAGAAGAAACCCTTCAAACAAGTCATTCACTCTACACTCCCAAGTCATTGTCGTTACGTGTGGAAAGAGTGAGTGGGTGAAAACCACCATCGACTGGTTCGGTGTCATGACATCGCACATCGGTGCCATCCACGCTTCGAAGCGCACCTTAGAGCTCTCGTCGCGCACCTCGCCGCTTCGTTGGTCGGACCGAGGCGTTGGTCGAGCGCTTTGGCGCTCTTCGCCCAGCACTTTCCACCGGGCGCGCGACCATACGGCGTGCGACCCGACGTGGTGCTGTGCAGCGCGGGCGCCGATGCGTTCGGTGCAGGTGGTCGCTGGGAAGACGCCTGCAGACCAAGCAGGGAGGTCGCCGTGCGCGCGGTTCGGGCGGTTGGAGGCGGATAGATTCGGGTTGCTGAGACGGGTGGCCGCGGGGGTAGCCAATTGTGGACAGCCTGGTTTTATGCTGCCAAACTGTAAATCCACATGGGGAAGAGTTCTTGGTTTTAAAGGTTCTTCAAGTAAATCCAAGACTGTCTCTAATATAATCTCCATAGGCTGTATAGAAATCAGGCAATGCGGCAACACGAGGAACAAAAGGAATCACCGACACTTTGTGGGCGGTGTTTTGTTGTAAGGGATGGCCGTATAGATGTCCGGTTCGACTGTTTGTGACACCGTATACCAATTAGATCTCAAGGATCTTCCTAGACTCCGGTGACCATTTTTGACATACCCCATGCGACTGGAATAGATGTATATTCGGGAAAACGACCCAAAACGTGTTCGACTTCGGGGTTGTTCAGCGAATGCGGTCGTTCGGCTGCAGCCGCGACAGTTCCGGGGTGTGAACACGTTGGTAGCACTGGGGGACACTGAACGTGAACGTGAACTGTGAATGTGAAAATTGAACACGTCATGATCATGAACATGACATGAACATGACATGAACATGATGTACTAAGGAGGTTTGGACGCTTTGACACGTTCGCTCTAGCTCGCTCCGCTCGTTCACTGGCGTCTCCGCTCGCCCGAGACGTCGGTGGGAGGGATGGAAGATGCGTGGCGATTCGCTGAGGAAGTGATCGGTTTGCTGCCGGCGATGTCTCAGCAGGGCTCCTTGGGCGAACGAAGAGGAGTACGTCGAGACGTGGGAGTTAGAGTTGGCCTCCTGGACGTCTGACAGCTTGGATTGGAAGATGTTCCTGTGTTGGAAGGGGCTGGTGACGGCTGATGTGACCAGTGTTGTTTGCCACCCTACCGCACTCCGCGGCCACGACGTTGCGACCCTCCACGGCTCCGGATCTCGTGAACTCCTTCATTCCGCCCTCACTCCCAGGCATTGGTCCCAATGCTTTCACTCTCAGCTCCACCGTAGCTGCTTGCGGACGCCGCCAGCAATGGCTCAAAGCTTTACTTCTCCACGCAGCGGCGCGTCGAGAGGCGGCAGAGGCTGCGGTTCCAACGCCTAGCGAGCTCGTGGGCGCTGGCGTCGGGGCATTGGCCCGCGCGGAGTGTTGGTGCCCTGGCGCGGAGGGTCGCGGTCCGGCGGTCCGGCAGGGACGGCGGGGACGGGCGAGATGAATCAACCAGGCACATGAAGTCTCCACCAGGACCTTCTAAGAGGTGTCTGGTGGTTAAGGGGTGTCCAAAAACATCCAAACAACACCTGTTGGACACTCCTGGTAGGGACCCTAGAAGAGCGATGGCTCCGGCATAATAGCAAAAGGAACCTAAAAAGCAATGGCCTCCACCTACTAGCAATGGCCCCCAACCAACTAGTGATGGCCTCCACCTACTAGTGATGGCCTCCACCTACTATAGAGATAAATAATATCACTATTTTTTGGAGAAGGGCCTGCAACTATTTGCAACCTCACCATCATCATCCATTCCCAGACACTCCATGTAACTTAGTAACACACATTTACCTACATTGGGGTGGTTTCAGGGGTCAATGTAGGCATATTTGCGGGCACCGAAGAAAGACCTCATCTTCTTTTGTCAAAGGCCCAAAGATTTGTTTGCTTCAACGCATGGAAAGGACGTGAAAGAACACCACACCCGGTCCAAGGCAAGATGCCGGGCATTTGCTGCAAAGCCTCCAGCTGGCACGTGGAGCTATTGCAGCTCGGAGAAGCATCGGTTTTGGACGTGAAGAATGTGTTTTTTTGTTTTCCGTGAAGAGATGAAATCCTTGCACATGCCCTTCAGATGAAATTGTAGGAAGTCCCAGAAGGCGCAGCAATCGGACATTTCTCCTGTCGAAAGCATGTTCCCCTGTCCCAGGAGGAGCCCTTTGGAGCAACCATTTGGGACTTGGGACTTGGGTTTCAGGTTCTGCAGCCAGTTGGCGCAAGATGCCTTGCGAGACTGCCATGGTTTTCGTCCTTCCTGGTTTGGATCAACACCAAACGTCCGTTGATACACGGGCGACGGGCGTCTAGCATCTCGAATCCCACCAAGGCAACCACCATGGCAGTCACTCTACCCTGCAAGTCCAGTCGACTATACAAAGAATGGTCTTGAGGTGACCCGAGTCAAGGAATTTCCTTGACTTCAGTCGGTCAACATATGGTCGAACTGGACTTCCAGGGTCTATTCCACCATGAAATGTTGGGTTGAGCACAGAAAATGCACAGAATAGCCTATCATGGAAGTCAACTTCAAGAGGTTTTAGGGCTCCAGGTTTTGACCCACAACCAAATCTCTCAGATCCATGTATTAAGTCCTATAGTAGAGCCAATCAATTGAACTGCTGAAGAGCTGAGTTGCAAGATTCGACACTCCAAGCAGATGCCACAATCCCCACGTTTGGTGGTTTCTACGGACCCCAATCTAAAAGACATGTAGGGGGGGTTGTGCCATCTACGTATACTCTGAAACCACTGCAATTGGAACTTGAAACTCAGATCTGACTCTTCCGATTCCTCAGCTTGGGGAGCTCAAGGGCAAGTCATACTCTCCATACTTTGCATGAGTACAAAAACATCCCCGAAGCATCCAGTGGCACCAGCCCTTGCGACAAGAAGGGTCGAGTGGCAAGCTCGTGCCTCGTGCAAACCGAATGGCCAAGGATCGACCAAGGATGCCTCGTCCCATCGGCCATGACTGACGTCGATGTCATTTCTCTTACGTCATTTCTAGCCTTCCAAGATGTTAAACATGACTTGGCTCGGGGTGTATGCCTGGGTTTTGCTGATCAGGTGATGTTTTTATTGTCCCTATGGGTAAATCCCTGAAGACACTCCTTCTGTGCAATATGTGTGGTTTGTTCCAGGTTCCTTAAGCACAGCCAAGAATGTCACCCCTAATCTCTTGGACCCACTCTCTGCCACGGCTGTGACCGAACCTACACCAGACCAGGCCAGCGTGGTGGCGTCCAACGCAGCACTGGGCGGCGCGGGCGGTGTGGTCGGCGGCTGGTCTTGGGCGCTGGGGCTTTTTGCAGGCCTGGCCTTGCCAGACCATAAGCTCCTAGTAGCGTCCTTGCTCCTAGTAGTCAGAGGCCAGGAGCCCCGTTCGTAGACGTCCGAACGCTCCTAGGCCTGGCCTTGCCAGACCTCCTGAGCTACGTGGCCAGCATCACCGGGGTTTGAACTCAGTACCAGCTTCGGTCGGGGGGCGGGTTGCTGGCCTGGCCTGGCGTGTTTCTGGTGTTCTTTTTTGGGGGACTTTCTCAAGTGGCAGGTGGGAACCTGGCAGGTTTCGGGGCCCAGGTATTTTGGTGTGTGTTTTTGTGTTTAAGGAACTTGAGAATCATTCAAGCTCTAACAATTCCTTGGGCGCTCCAGTCCAGACCTTTGCCACCCCCCCTTCCGGTGGATACTTCAGGCCCGGCTTCTGCTCCAACGGTTTGAAATGGCTTGAAGTCCCTTGCACAAGAAGTATTAAGTGGTGTTTGGGGAAATGTCCCTCTTGCGACCTGCGAACAAGGTGCTTTCCCTGCTTTCCCTGCTTTCGGCCCGCAATGGGCCGGGACCTTCAGTTCCGGTCGGTCCACCTGGTGGTCCTGGTGGTCGGGCGATCCTGGCGCGGACTTCATCGACCAGGTTTGACCAATTCCCAGACACGACCTGGCACCCGGGACTGCCAGGACGGACTGCTGCCCCAGACAGACGCCCCTTTCAACATCTTCTTTCAACCACCCCTGGCCGGAACTCTGCAGTCCGGACTGCCCAGTCCCAGACTCGTCATGTCTGGATGAACTGGAACACCCGATTCCGGGTGGACTCCCACCCGTGAGGTTCAGGAACTCCGACCTCCGAACCGGCATCCCTCGGGTCCTCGTCCGGACCCTCGCGGTGATTCGGTCGTGTGTCCATGAAGCACCCCGGTCCGGTTCGCACTGATGCGGTCCGGGTCGGGTCGGACCGGCGCCGACCACCCATGCGAAAGCGGTTTTGAGACCCACAAGACGCCAGCCGAGGTTTCAACTCGGCGTTGAAGGCGTGCGAAGTGGGGAGTTGCTGGGATGGCGCCTTGGGCCAACAACTCGACATTTATTGTAGATAAGTATGAATCATTGTCCCCTAAGAATCCGGGCCCGAACCAACACATATAGGGTTTGGTTCAGGTCCGGACCCCTGCTATCGAGGGTCCAACTCTTAGTGTGATATAGTGTGATATAATATATATGGTCAATCGTCTTGTGAGTCCTGATGTACGATCCCATCATCATTCATGTCCAAAGAATTCCGAAGGACGCGTTCATTCATGTTTGTGTTTCTGAGAGCGAAGAGCTCTCAGGTGTTCATTAGGACGAACCTTCGACGAATAAGCAATGCATATATAATAATACTGTTGATATGTATACTACAACATGGAGGATGTAAAGCGGTTCTGGTAGATTCTACGAGGGTTTTAATTGATCAGCGGTCAAAAGTTTAAGGACATGCTGCACACCCATGAAGCACAAGCAATCCGACTATATACTAAGGTGCCTTAGCGCTGCTCTTCCGACTACACAGTACCTGGAGATTGCAACCGGATTTCCTGAGCGAAGGCCAGTCGTCCGAGCTTTGAGGCGGTCGTCCGACGTGCAAAGGGTATTCCCCGAGTTGTCAGTTTTGGGTTCCCTGAGAGAAGGGGACGGGAAGGTTTCATGGTAGGCAGACCCGGCTTCAAACGGCCAATTCTGAGGGCCTCAGAAAAATGAAACCTCTCGTTCATCGGAGTGTCAGAGCTCCGCCGCAGAAGTGACATGAAGGGGTAGGGCAGATATGTGTGTTTCATGACGTAAAACAGATCTGATCTTTCCCTGTCGCCGCAAATGGATCGATCCAGATTCTGATTCATGGTTTTTTTTTTGGTGTCCTCATTTCTACACGCAAAACACATGTCTATCTTCCCACTCTTATTTAATATAGAAATTGACATGGTGGATAAACCAAGCCGGTCAAGCGCTTTGCAAAGAGAGGTGTATTGATCACCCCAGTTTTTTTTTCGGCACGTCGAATGGTGACCAGCTGCACCCTCTTGAAGACGAAATGTCTTACCCTCTTGTATTCTCCAAATAGCACTGATCAGAGGAATTCACTTTTTCGTGTCCATCGCACGATTTCATGCCCTCCCAAAAACCACCCAACAACCCTGCCCCAACAAGAAACCACGCGCATTCATGGGTGTTCTTTCTCATTAAGGAACTCCCATTTTAACTGCAATCTGCCAAGAGCCCGCGCCAAAATCCACGACGCGCCTTTAGAAAGAAGCTAACTACTAGTAACAGGGCATCTATCCTGGCAGCAAGAAGCGACAAGGCCACGTGACGGGTGCCCGGCATCCGCCGCTTTCTTCGAGGCTCAGCCGTCGAGGCCTGTGGCCTCCTGAGCCGTTGGCCTTGGTCCTTGCAGCTCTTGCAGAGGTGGACAAGGGGAGAGTTGTTTTGCAGCACGCCACCTTCCCGGGGTGAGGAAAGAACCATGGGGAAACATGTCAGTGGGCCTAATAGGGTCATCTCACAGGCAAAAATTTGTTGGGGGGAATCATGATGCAAAAACACACATCTCACAGGCAAACACAGCGGCGATTTCTGTGGCGCTGTTTTTTTTCAAGAGAGAAGGAAGTGATCGAGGAAAGCTTCAGTTGTTTCGTCTTGAGAAATTCTTTTGGTGGATGTGTTGTTCTTGGAGCGGTTTGATCGTCTCGAAACGGACAGACATGTGGGACAGATGGTTTCGACCACGCGACCCGGAGGTCCTTAGGTCCAATCCTCCCGGGATCCAGTCGTACCGAACCTCAGGTACGGTGATTGGGGACACGTACAGACATGTAGGTTTTGGGGGTCCAGTACCGAACCTGAGAAGGTACGACTGGATTTGTAGGGCGAAGGTACCCTCCCTCAAACCATCATGGTTGCGCTGAGCAGACCTGCCTTCTAGAGGACAAGACTGGTCGAAACAAGGGGGCCGAGCTGTTTCAGGGAGCGAAGGCCAGGAGACAAGGCCAGGAGCTTGTCCTACGGCAGCTTCTTGTTGATATGTATGTACTGTATGTCTACATCTATGGGTGTTTAACATCATTAAGTATAAGAATTCAGCCACCTTGACTAAATGGTGACTATATCCATGTGTGGTGTTTGTCCGTTGATGAGACCGCCATCGATTGTTCTGAAGAATCAACCTCTGGGAAAGGTGGATGTGAACAAAGTCGGATTCAGAAACTGCACTGTATTCAGAAACTAGTCTTCAGAAACTATTTCGTTGTATTCGGAAACTATTTCGTTGTATTCAGAAACTCTTGTATTCAGAAACTATTTCGTCGTATTCAGAAACTCTTTTCGTCGTATTCAGAAACTATTTCGTCGTATTCAGAAACTATTTCGTCGTATTCAGAAACTATTTCGTCGTATTCAGAAACTATTTTTGTCGTATTCAGAAACTATTTTCGTCGTATTCAGAAACTATTTTCGTCGTATTCAGAAACTATTGTTCCTCATGCTCAGAAACTTCTATTCCCAAACTAGGGGGCAATGTGAACAATCGCACGCGTGGACAGTTGATGCGTTCTCTTGCATTCAGGGTGGGG